AATTTTACACACGAAGTTTTGAAACAAACTTTCCGCCAGTCTGAACCAAAATCGACTTGGGTCACTTGTAAAACACGCGATCACCTGCTGGTGACGCCATTTCCGCTTTTCAAAGTAAGAGCACGTAGTCTTCTATGTGTTGTTTTTTCCCTTAAATAATCAGCAACAAGTAACGTGCAATACGTTAACAGTTGTAAGATATGAAGTGACAGGACCTGGTCACCATCTTTGATAATATGGCTCTTGGTCTTCGTATTTGCTTTGTTAAGAAATGACATATTGCAATTTTATTGTTAATTGTCAATATGTACAGTAAATATTCATGTTGTGGACTGTGGAAATGAAAGCCAGGTGCTGGATTTTTTAAACTGTCATGATGATGAAGATACATTGTGAATAGATCGCATTTTATACTCATCCAACCTGTAAAGAGATAACTGGTGTCATTTCTTTACGATTGAATTTATTGTAATCATTCAATCTATTTGTGAGACAAACATTGAGATAACTCTACCTCTATAGAAATCCCATTAATTTCTGGAAATTTCAGGATTTTAACATTAGTGTGTATGTACAAATGTTCACAACTAGAGTGAGTGACATCACACAGAGTGGGGGGAAGCTGTTCAACTGCTCTGAAAGATTTCTGTTGAACTTGTCCTCGCAGCCACAAAGTTTCCAATAACAGTGAATATTGCATATCACAGTGGATCTTTGTTTCATTTTTGCCCTGGTAAAACAAGCAGCTGCCTCTGCCCAGGACAGACACAAATGGAAAGTGTCATCTGAACTAATGACCTGCCTTGATGAGAAGACTGACAGATTGCATTTTCATTTTCATTTTGACGCAAAAAGAGCATAGTGACATGTAAATGTAAGTGAAATGGACTGTGGGTTGCTGTTTGCTTATTGTATTTGAATATTGTACAGCGAGTTAACGAGTATATTAAGGCAAAAAAAGTCATAGCATAGTAAGGCATGAAAAGTCAAACTAGCGTTAGGCATTAAAAGAGACATTCTATACAAAAGTATATAAAAGTGAAAATAAAGTTTGGCATAAAAAAATATATATACATAGTATAGTAAGGCATAAAAAGTCATAAAAACGTCATAGTATAGTGAGACATAAAAAGTCATAGTATAGTAAGGCATAAAAAGTCATAAAAACGACATAGTATAATCAGGCATTAAAAGTCATAGTATAGTAAGGCATGAAAACATCATAGTATAATATGGCATGAAAAGTTAAAAAAAACATCATAGTATAGTAAGGCATAAAAAGTCATAGTATAGTAAGGCATGAAAAGTCATTAGCACGACATAGTATATTAAGGCATTTAAAGTGATAAAAAGTCATAGTATAGTAAGGCATAATAAGTCATAGTATAGTAAGGCATGAAAAGTCATTAGAACGACATAGTATATTAAGGCATTTAAAGTGATAAAAAGTCATAGTATAGTAAAGCATAAAAATGTCATAGTATAGTAAGGCATAAAAATGTCATAGTATACTAAGTCATGAGATGTCATAAGAACGTCATAGTATAGTAAGGCATAAAAATGTCATAGTATAGTAAGGCATGAGATGTCATAAGAACGTCATAGTATAGTAAGGCATAAAAATGTCATAAAAACGACATAGTATAGTAAGGCATGAAAACTCATAAAAAGTCATAGTATAGTAAGGCATAAAAATGTCATAGTATAGTAAGGCATGAGATGTCATAAAAACGTCATAGTATAGTAAGGCATAAAAAGTTATAAAAAACAACATATTATAGTAAGGCATGAAAACTCATAAAAAGTCATAGTATATTAAGGCATAAAAATGTCATAGTATAGTAAGGCATAAAAAGTCATAAAAACGACATAATATATTAAGTCAGAAAAAGTCATAGTATAGTAAGGCATAAATAGTCATAAAAACGTCATAGTATAATAAGGCATAAAAAGTCATAAAAACGACATAGTATGATCAGGCATAAAAAGTCATATTACAGTAAGGCGTAAAAAGTCATAAAAACGACAAAGTATAGTAACGCATAAAAAGTCATAGTATAGTAAGGCATAAAAAGTCATAAAAACGACATAGTATATTAAAGCAGAAAAAGTCATAGTATAGTAAGGCATAAAAAGTCATTGTATAGAAAA